GTAAATAAGACACTTATTTGACTTTCGGTCATAGATTGAGCATTTTATATCAGTTCAAGTTAATTAAATAGATGTATGGTTATTTTTTAATTTTATGATTATTGAAACATTTTTTTTTATTTAGGGTAAACTCAAAAGTTCTGGATTGTTAAAAATAATCTTGCGTATAGCTTTTGACCACTTTACCTTTTGCACCAATACTGAGAACAAACAGAAAAAAAACTGACCCATTGTACTACATTGGGTGGATTTTTAATTGTTTCAATTTACATCTAAGACACTATTGTACCTAAGTAAAAAATAGTCCCTCGTTTAGTAACCCTGTATTTAATTATTAAAAATACATTTAATTTTCAATGAACGCATAACAAACCACCCGTAATAATTCACCAATGATTACAATTAACGGACCAAACCGGACAAATCTGTTGATTAAAAATAATAAACCGCTGCAGGCCGATTGCAACACCTGCGGTGTAATGGCTTCAAGTTAATGACAGCGCCTTTCCTTCGAGCGCTACTAATAACCCAATAACCAGCGAGTTTGTATTTAATTTCTCTGATACACTTAACAGTATCATGTGCAATAGAAAAAAAAGTAAAAAACAAAATTGTCCTTATCAGTTACTATTACATGACGTCAGCCTATTGTTATGATGTCACCATTCTTATCTTATTTGCTATTTTCTAATTATAAAGTTCTGAGAGATGTCAGTGCAAATTCAGTCCGTCAACCCAGTTGCATGTTCAGGTAAAACCAGTTGTTTAGTTTTCAATTAAAAATTACAAAATAAAAAAAAAAAATTATAATTAAAAAAATAGGTAGGTACATTGATTTTAAGCCATCCCTTTATGATATTAAAATATAATCTTGTCAACTATTTTTGTTTTATAAAAAAAAGTAAAAGATTTGTCTTACAATACAGCTTTGCTATCCAACAGAAATATGATAATATCATCGACAGTCAAAACCTAATAACTTTTTAAAACTAATACTGTTATACTACTAAACCAAACGCGGCCACTATGGACGGGCCCCTTAAAAGTGGGGTCACCTCGGGCGGGGTCATTGTTTTCGATATTATTACTAGCTCAGCCCCCGGCTTGTTTCGGAAATGTCATAAACTAAATAACTTACACTTCCTGTTTTAAACAATTATCAATTTCTTTCCAAATATTGGTTTGCAAGAATAAAAGAAATTATTTTAATCCACGTAACCATTAAAAATATTTTTATTTATCTTTTCAATAATAATGAAAGAATAGCAATAATTTTATTTAAAAATATTATGTCACTAAATTGTTGATTTTTTCTTTGAGTCTACCATTGCATCGTAGTAAAAAAGCATCACCATCTATTTTTTTAAACATACCTATTTTAGATATTTATTACTCACTTGGATTCCGTAAAGAGTAAAACTAAATTATACTACGAATAATTTGACTAGCTGTATTTTATATTATTTTTCACAAAATACTAAATTCTATCCATGTCTTCATTTCGAGCGATCTAATTATTTCACAATATCGTGGATCTCCAAAACCTTTGGGTTCATACTTCATATCGTAGTGCGGTCATTCCTCTCCCGCCAACCCTCTAAGAATCTCTTTACCACTCACTGGAGGGCGCTGTGAGGTTGCAAACATCCCTCAGATCGGTGTAAGAACCATTGGTTCTTACTTCTTAAATTAAAGGATGAAACATGTTGTTGCTTGATAGAGTCATAGTCAAGTAGAGTAGAATAATAAAATAAATAAACTTGGGATATGGGATCTCTATTTCTTTGAAATAAAATTGAGAGTTTGCTCGGAAGTTTATTTTATTTTAATTTTCAAACAATATTAGGTACAATAAACTCGTATCAACGGTGGTGTCTGACCTGTTATTTACAAAATAAATATAAAATTCTAAGCTTATTATTGAATATAAAATTTCAATGGTTTCAATTTCATAAAGAATTTGAAACCCATAAATGATTTCGGCATAGGTAACATTTGAAATAAATGAAAATAAAAAACAAAACATATTTTTTGCATCACTCATAGGAAAATCCCACTGATTCATTGGAGATTGAATATTCTACAATTATTATCTAACATTAATTATATTTCAAAGAATACTTTTAAGTTCCTTACTTTAAACAGAGACCAATTGCCATTTTCTTGAAACAAAACTTTCATAAAAACTTAACACTTATCTGAGAAATGGTTCAAAATTTTCCCCCTCTGTGTGAGGGTTCTTAGTTTGGGCTAAAGGGTTGCGATAACACGAGTTGCGAATACATTATTAGAACCATGGTTCTAAGATCGCGGGTAAATGAGAACCATTGGTTCTATTTTAGACAAACCAGATGACAAAATGTTATTCTTCTAAAAAATGAATTCAAGGAAAACTAAAATATTTTGTTAAAAAGAAACACTAAAAAATCCTATAATAACTAAAATAGACATAAAGACAACTAACTCGACATTTATGAATGAGTTACATTAAGTTCACGGCTTGATTTTTAAAAGTTTAGAATCTTAAATTAGGTAATAATCCATAGACAGTCGTTTAAATGTAGAGCAACAATTTAAAATTTGAACACTCAATTTGGGAAAAGAACAAACCACAAGATTTATTGTTACCCAATGATTAATAAAATCGGCACTGGCTGTTAAGACACGCAAGCCGTAGAAAAAAGTCTTTTAAATTCAAAATTCGAATAATGTTTTAAAAATCGAACACTTGCATGTCCAGCGTGCTACAGTGCATCGGTCACGGTTGGCGGCTCAGTCACTCCCATACGCCTGGCGTCACCACGCATTGTCTGTCTATGTACATACACATCAGCCTATACATTTTTATTGCAAAATAAGCTTTGTTACAACGAAATAAGACGCACTGAGTTTAGCTTCATGTGCTTATATACTGATGATTTGATAAGACTGTTTTGTCTCGACCCGCCTATTTTGCTATTGTACCGCTGATTTTTACCGTGGGTAGGAGTTAGCAGTTCAATAATTGTATAGCTATTATACTATGGACACTTATCAAAATGGATTACTCATGCAATCTAACGTGCTAACCATAGAGTGGAACAAATCGTTTGAAGACATGCTGAAAAGCTATAGCATATTTACAGTATGATACTTTTTAGATACCATAAGCAATTTTCAACTGAGTTTAAAAAAAATACACAAAAGACAACTTTATTAAACTGAAAACATATTTTATCTTTATCTCTCTGTTTGGTTGGTAGAGAATGCCTCTTGGTATTAAGTGTACCATTAATTTATTATTATAAACTACGTTTCGTTCCATATAAATACCACCTACCACCTTCCACCTACAAAGTGTCAATAAATAAAATATCTATTGCATTAGCAACACAATCATAATTATATTTTAAACTTATTTAACATAAGTGGTTTCATTACGTTCCAACACAATATTTAATAATTTAATGTAGAGGTGATAATTTGACTGATTAAAAATTTAAAATATGTATCAAACGCGTTGTAAAAAGCTTGCTCATTTACATTTACAGCATGCGCTCGTGTACACGTAGGTACATACATATTATATGTATATATATGTATGATAATACCGAGTTGATTGCCTTGGTTCTTAGACCCGCCTATTTAGAGATTAGATCTATTATGTTGGCTAATTTTTATTGTCTAACTCCATGCCTGGCTGGGCAGCAATTTGATATACATTTTGTGTGGACTACAAAAATATCTGGAGCAGTCTATTAATTGGAGCTAATATTGCCTAAGTACTTTTTAAACGACCATTTAAAGGAGGTACTAAATGGTAGAGTTTCAGTATTTAATTTTGCATAGCTTGTAATGATAATAATTGGGTAAGCTGTAATAAGCTTACATTATAATAACTTTGCATTCCTGAATTATTAAAAATACTTAGTACTTTATTTAATAAATATTACGGACTTTGATGCGATACTAAAGATATTTCTTAACTCGTTCGGAACGCAGTACGCCATCTGTTGAGGGGTAGTATTAAACTAAACGTGGCGCTAAGGCGGCAAGACGTATGAACCTTCGAAGTTTCAGTGAAGAAAAGTTAAAGAAATTGAGAAAAGCGATAAATGTATTTTCTCATAATTTTATGTTTAGAAGATAAGATTTTTTAAAAACAACCATGAGTGGGCAGTCCCAGATAAAAGGGGCTCAACATTTCCGTGGTAGGCAAAAATAAATGCAAAAGTTCTCAAGTCCCTTTTCCCCAACTTTAGGTAAAGGAAAAACGGTAAAAACCACATTAGTCCACCGTTGGCTAATGCCCCGTAGATAAGCCCCGCCTGGGCGCGAAAAAAATGCCATAATAAAAGAGGCGTTACGAAAAGAAATCCCCAAAAACTCAACCCGCGACAGCGCTATCTAATCCCCCCACGCGCGAGCGAGACAAATGCCATTAAGAAAAAATCACAAAGAAGTCCATTCTTTTCATTTCCTCCCTCGATTAGAAAAAAATGGGGAGAGCCGTTCATCTCTTTCTAACTCGAAGGGGTGAAGCGGCCGCGGGGAAGCGCGAGCGAGAGGGGCGACCACCCCGGCGTCCTTCGCGCCCTTTTTAATAGTTCTTATGCGGCCGCGGTCCGAGCGGTCCGTCATGCGTTTTTGGGCACATGTCCGAGCCCGCTGGCGCTCACACCGCGGCCGCCCGCCGCCGGCCGACGTCTTTTCTTGACCGGACGCATTTTTCCGCGGAAAAAACGTCGGGCGCGTGCGCCCGGCGCCGGTGGGGATGTTCTTGAGGACGTCTAAGGCGGCGGGGGCGGCGCCGCATCTTGGTAGTTGGAGCGGCGTCTTCGGCTGGCGCGCGCGTCCGCCCCTCCCCGCAAGAAAGCGTCGCGGCGCCCAAGTTTTCCACCAAGAAGTTAGTCGTCGCCCGCCTGCGTCTCAAGGCGGTCTTCCGCTTTCCCGCGACCGCTTTTCCGGGCTTCGACTTCCCGCTCGTTTTGCCGCGCGATTCAAACGGGTCTCTCTTGCAGGACGCGAGTGCTGCGGTCGCGTCGCATGACTCGGTTGTGACGGTACGCCCGAAGCTGGAATTCATGTTGAAATACTTCAATGAGAACATATCCCTAGCGCTTCAGGAGAGGTACCGGGACCTCCATGAGTATCGGAAGACGGAAGCGTTAGAGGAGGGCTCACCGAGGGAGGCGAAAGTTCCGAAAATAGCGGAGGAGAGTGACCAGGTCGGCGGCGAGGGCGCGTTTGAGGGAAGCGCCGCGCCGCCGTTCCCGCGGCTGCTGGAGCCGCCGAAGGACGAGGACAGCTTCGTGGCGAGCTGGCTGCAGAACTCCTTCAAGATGACGGCGGCCGAGGGCGGGGAGGCGGCGGCGGCGGGCAGCGCCTTGGACCTGCGAGCGGCGCCGCTGTCGCTGCACATTCCGGCGTTGCAGGCGGAGGCCCAGCGGCAGTTCAAGATGCAGGACTTCTGGGCGCGCAGCCGGCCCGGCTCGCCGGCCGCGGAGGCGCCGCCGGAGCACCCGCCGGGGCCCACGCCGCCCACGCCGCAGCCGCCTCCGACGCCGGACCACAAGATCATGACGGAGAAACTGGTCAACGAAATTCAGGTGAGTGATTTTTTTGTTGACAAAATTTGTGCTGTTAGGAAATGAAAATTAAATAGGAAGAAGCCGTAGTTTCTTGGAGTTTCAAAGAAAATTGGATGTAAATATTGAATTGAAAATTGTTTTGAAGTTAGGATTTTACAAGTGTTGAGTTTTCAGTCGGTTCTGAAATCAAATGCGATTTGTTTCTGGAAAAAACAATGATTTTTGATAGTTTGAATTTTTTAAGGAAAAATTCAAAAAAAGTGAAATATCAAAAAATATGATTGAGTAAATCCTCAAAAAGTTATTTTTGCAATAGAAAATGTATGCTTAATAAAGATTTGGCGCGTGTACTAACAAAAACTCGTTCGACGGCATCGCCGTATCACAACAACAACTTACCGTTCCGCTGATGTAATCTAGTTTATATTTAGAATTACCTTATAAGTACCTCAAATTACTTGATATTCCGTAATTTTTCTCGTTTTATCACTTAGGAAAATTAAGATAACTTACTGAACAAGAGCTGTGTGGTATAAATCGTCTAGTTCAGAAAAAAATGTGTGTAAAAATTAAAATTATTTAAAATAAAATCAACGTGTCACTTCAACGGAGAATCTTGACGAACTGACCTCAAGATATTAACGTTCTCAAACCAGTTCCAAATTTGAATGATCCCTTCTTTAAAAAAAAGGATAAGAAACACGGCAACATATTGTAAAGCTTTTGTTAGCAAGAAGGGTTAAAGGCCTTGGAGTCAAACTTATTATTAAATCGTTTTTGTCCTTACGTCGCATCCGGTCTCACAAAGGATATGTAAATTACAATAATCCGTGATAATTCTATTATTTCTGTATTAGCCCGTGATCAACTTGTCGGCGTTTTCGATTTCTTTCACCAAATGTTTGTTTTCGACATATGGCATTATTATTTTATTGGTGACGTTCCGGTTCCCGATTACTTTTATTTTGAGCTAATGTTTACTCTCTTCTTCCGTTCGTCCGTGTGTAATTTTAAAAACCAATTGGCCGTAAAAAGGAACGTCGGTATCGAAAAACAAAACAATGCGCGTTCGTAATTCAAACTAAGACGGAAGAATGAGCATTAAAAACAATGGAACTGCAATGGCTGACATTAATTCAAATTTTAAAAACAGAAGACGAAAGAATATTACTTTTTAGGGTTCCGTAGCCAAAATGGCAAAAACGGAACCCTTATAGTTTCGTCATGTCCGTCTGTCCGTCTGTCCGTCTGTCCGTCTGTCACAGCCGATTTACTCGGAAACTATAAGTACTACAGTGATGAAATTTGATGGGAATATGTGTTGTATGAACCGCTACAAAATTATGACACTAAATAGTAAAAAAAAGAATTGGGGGTGGGGCCCCCCATACATGTAACTGAGGGATGAAAATTTTTTTTCGATGTACATACCCGTGTGGGGTATCAATGGAAAGGTCTTTTAAAATGATATAAAGTTTTCTAAAAAACATTTTTCTTAAAGTGAACGGTTTTTGAGATATCAGCTCTCAAAGTCGTAAAAAGTATGTCCCCCCCCCTCTATTTTTATAACTACGGGGTATAAAATTCTAAAAAAAATAGAGGTGATGCATGCTAATTAACTCTTTCAACGATTTTTGGTTTGATCAAAGTATCTCTTATAGTTTTTGAGATAGGTTGATTTAACTGTTGCTGCTACGGAACCCTTTGTGCGCGAGCCCGACTCGCACTTGGCCGGTTTTTAAATTAGTTTCGGATTCGCTCACCTTGCATTTGTCTATTTCCCACGGCACGGATTAGGGGCTCATTGTGATTTTATTTTTAATTTTTTTGGCCCCGCTTTGTTTCACGGAAGGGGTGTTGACAGTTATTTGTTGCTGCGAATCTGTTCTCTTTACGATTTTTTTTGTTTTAAAAATTGTTTGAACAAGGAACCGGTTTTGATAGTTCATGTTTCGTATTCAAAAGTTTTTTTTCGAAAATAGAGATTTAACGGTTCGTCGCTGTGAAGTAGTTGCGCTTTTGTGGTTACCGTTTTTTAAATAACGGTTAATTAAAATTTTGATTTATTAATATCGTCCCGCTGTTGAGTCAAGGGTTTGTAATCAAAATAGTGAATGTCGTTTGTTATCCGCGGAAAAAATATTCTCCAAATTGAAACTTGTAAAAAGTACTGTGAAACTCAAAAAAATCAATCATTCACAAAAGCCAAATACCTCTTGTAGCTAATTAATTAGGACTAGAAAGGTTGTTAAAAATATCTATTTTTTTTGTTTACAAAATAATAGCTGGATTTAGATACCTAGGTACCTACTTATTGAAGTTAGGCATATAATCTAAGATGCACCATCTCTTTTTTTCACGCCGCATTGGAACGAAACAGCAACAGCAGCAATCACCATCGGCGGACTCCACCATGAGCGAGAGGTCGCTCGTGCCATTTGCACTGGTAAATTTACTGTCCTCACTCAATAATATCGATGTAATTATTTTTTCATCCTCACTACTTCAATGTGTGTCACGTGATTTTTTGAGTTTTTTACACTTACACGGTTTTCGCACGCGACCGCCGTAACAATTTTGCTTGCACTTGATTTTTGTTTATTTTGTAACTGCATGCAGCGTTGATTTTAAGTGTTCTTTTTTTCGGTTGTATTAATTATTTTTTCGAATGGAACAATATTTTTTTAGATTTTGTTTTCTCGTTTACTAATAATAATAAAGTAAAAGGTACTAGTTTAGTACTAAGTTTAATAAATGAATTACCATTTTGCCTAGACTTATCATAATTGACACTTTTAACATTTGAGTTTATGTTTTAAATTCCAATTAATTTTAAAATGGACTTAAACAAAACGAACTTAAATACTTACAGCTAAGTTAATGTACTTAGTGTTTTAAGAATCAAAGTAACACATTGTTTAAAATTTCCCAACTCAATTGGCAAGATCAACAAATCTGGCAATTTCAAAATAGAACAAATGGAAAGTCTTAGTTCATACATCACATACAATGTGGATGAAATAGAAAACATTGGTTTTTCCCCTCAAATGTAATCGGAGATTTAGTTATGTATTTTGCTAACACGACCGTTATAAAGGTAATTCCATTACATCTTTAACAGTCAATAGTGATCGTGTTGCTTATACAGTACTTTTAACATAATTCTAAATGATTTTAATAGGTACATAATAAACGAATACAAATAATATGACAACTGAAATTGTCGCCGCGCGATTATTCTTCGCTGCAAAATTTTGTCGATTTTGTTTTATTTTGGTTTGTCTTTAACTTTACCATCGTGGTTTTTGGGTCATAGTTGTCAAGACCATGACGTTGCATATTTTTTCATCAATTTTTTGTAACATTTGCGGGGAGTTATCAATATTTTCTTAGCCGTTACTAGTCATAGTCTAAAGCATAATATTTATCATCCTACATACGAAATTAAAGTAGCTTATTATCATAGTCATAGTTTAACTAGTCATCTTCTAAAGCATAATATCACCCTACATAAGGCGTTAAAGTAGCTTGTTTTATCATAGTCATAGTTTGAAGAATTTAGTTTTCTCATAACAACCATTCAGTCACTTGCATGAGATAACAATAAGTTGCATGTAATAACAATAATAAATAACATTACAAATGTCATCCACATTTTCGGGCAAAAGTCAATCGTCCAATCCCACATAAGTAAGGGCTAATTCCCACGGAGATATCCCGTTTTTTGCAAAACCTGTGGGAGCGAGCCCTAACAGTTGTATTTTTTCCAAAACACCCGCAAGAACGTCCGTTATTTTTCCAAAATACCCGCAATTTTGACCGCCATGTTTGTTGCACGCAGCCGCAGCAGTCGCCGACCGGGGAAGGCCCTGGCGACCGGAACACGATGTTGCCATTCGCTTTGGTAAATTTCCTGAATAGCCTCAATATTGATGTAATTATTTTTTCTTTCTTTCACCACTTCGGTAGGGAAACTTGAGCAGTTTTCGGGGATTTTAATGTTTGTTGGATTAATTAGATGAAGGAGTATAAGTTGGTTTATAAGTGACTTCTAAAGATGTGTCTAAATAAGACATATCAAAGTCAATAAAATTATTGTTACAGACTCTAGATATTAAATTGCAGCAGTCTTTACAATGTTATACCCACCTAGAGATTGACAAGTTGTTTCTTGAAATATAAAATTTTTCAAAAACAACTCGGAAATGGTATTTATGAGTTCGATAAAATGTTTTCCATAAATAATAGTGTTTCAATAACCTGAGCCCTGACCTGAACCTGAATGGGATTCCAATGGAGACTGATGTTTCATTCCTTAAACCATCAACTAGACTTAATTTAAGCATACATCCAAGTTACTAAATTAAAAGGCGTATTCTTTAATAACATTAAGCAATAATTTACACATAATAATATAGTCGAACTCTGAAGATTCAGAAGAAAAATTCAAATAATTAACACATTCAGTTTTGAAGCCTATTTATCTATATTGTAATCGCTTACGTAATGTATGAAATTATACATTTAAAAACAGTTTAATGAAAACTGCTGAAGTTTCTACTGTGTTACAATTACAGTGGGCTCTATATTTTCTTCTTGTGTTTCTTCTTGCGTGCTCTATCTTCTTCTACTAAGTTCTATACTACAATTTTATTTTTTATTCCAGTCAGTAAATTATCACTTTAACCATATAAAACGATTAATAAGAATTGCTACACTGAATTTTTTAAAACGAAGAAAAATAATTTATTGACTGGAATAAAAAAATGTGGCCTTATTACAAAAAAGTTAAACACACATTAAACACTCGTTTAAAATGTCTACAAATGTCACTTTAAACAAGTGTTCAACGTGTGTTTAACTTTTTGTAACAAGGCTCTTGGTGTTTAAAAAAACATGATAGAGTCCACTGTATTGACGTAAATGCAAAAAAATCGCGTCCGCGGAAAAAAGTGCCTAAAAGTTAAAAAGCTTAAGTTTTCTCAGTAATAATTCATGCGTGAATCCATCATTTTACCAAATTAGCGAGCATTTACTAACACATGTGTTGAGCTAATCTTTATTCATTACTCACCTCTTCTTTGTAACTTAACGCTTAATTAATATAACACTTTTTGTAAAATGACGATGAAAGGATAAGTTGTTTTAACTTATGATCTACAATATACTTTAAACTGTTTAAGAGTTTCTTTTGCCTTGTTTTTTTTATTAGTATTTATATTGTTCTTTTTTTTTATAAACAACTTACGTCACTAACTTGAAGTAATACTTTGTACGTCACTTAGGCTGAATTATACCACCTTACTTCAACCGTAACTATAACAATAACCGGTGCTTTTTGTATGGAGTTTGACGGTTTTGATGTTTGCAATAGTTAAAGTAAGATGGTGCAACCCAGCTTTAGCGTCTCATCAAGTTTGACTGTAGGATTGTTGAGTTTCATGAAATCTTTTTTCATTTTTATAAATTATGCAATCTGTGCTCTAAAAAAAGCATCGTCATTTTACAAAAAAACGTCCCCATTACGTCATAATAAAACCGCGTTCCGTTCCACAGCAACAGGCGCGCTCGGGGCAAAGCATCAGCGAGCGCACGCTAGAAGAATGCTGGTCCACACTGCAGCGAGTGAGTTGGCACCTGTTTCAATGCGTATTGTCATCTTCCAAAGAAACGGAACGCGCGGCGGCGGCTGCCGGAGTTCGATTTTCGAATTTGAATTTGAACTTTTGTTGTTCTTTTGTTTTTTCTTCTTCGCGGTTTGGTTTCCATATTTTTTTTTATTGATGACCTTTTTACTCATAGTTTATGTTTTTTTTATTGTGAATTTATAACGCAAAGGCATAAAAGTTAAGTGACTTGAAAAGTAATTCGAACTCAACGCAACCGCTGAAACGCGTTACCGAAACGGGGTATTGGTTACAAACCAATCACTCAATTTAATTTTAAGGTGAGTTTTCATAGCATTTTAGAATATTTACCACACACTTTTTACCCGACTGCAAAACAGGAGGGTTATGTTTTTTCACAAGATTTTAATCAAAACAACATAGCTGCGGGTGGCGAAGGAAACACTAAGCGGTCAGATAAGAACTTTTTAAACAGGAACTATAAAGTATCTAGTGCGATCTATAATTTGCATATTCATTAGGTAACATTTTCGCATAGAGTCGATTAAGATAAAAAATGTCCGATAAAGGCGCTAGGGGCGTGTTAACAATTTATTTTATCGAGATTTTTTTTTAAACAGGCGAAGGAATTGACCATCTGCATACAAGGTGGTGCGATTCAGGAAGTGATGTGTAAGCGCATTTTGTGCAACATCTGCATTTGATAGGGCTGCCTTTAAATTTTTGAGACGCGAATCAATGTTCGAAAATTCGAAATTCAAAAAATATTTTTTTATAACAAAAAATGGCGCAAGTGTTGAAACGTTAACCAACACGCAACTTTTTCAAGTAGAAACCTCACAAAGAAGATAATTATCTAGTGAGCTTAGGATAAAAGTTAGTTTTCAAGGAAAATCTCTTTTGCATTAAACTGTATTCTGATATTTAATTATGCAAAATATGAACTTCAAATAATACTACTATCAAGAATTTAAAAATCCCTATTTACATAATCCACCTAATTTATACCTACCAAAATTCTGTACAAAATTAAAACATCTTATTTAAACTACACAAAGAAGTGAAAAATCATCTCTCTGACAGTCCAGACACCTTATTCCAATCTCCAAACAAGTCTATCATCGAAAAAGCTCCCAAAAAGTCCCAAAGAAGCTTAAAAAGTTCGGCCAACGCCAAAAACCTAGTAAACAATGTAACGAAAAGCACAGGTGCGGGTAAAAAATAGTAAAAAAAGCACCAACGGAAAGTACACGGCGAATAAAAACTGCACTCTTTGTGCTGGATCGCGTACTTGATCTTTTGAAGTAAAGAACAACTGTGGCGTGGAGTCGCTTTAAACACAATTTTCTTTTAAAAGTACGTACTTCAGTTAATGATGAAATAGTAAGAAAGAGAGCCGAGCTCATGCCTTTTCTCGCTATAGTGATAAGGAAAATGTTAAATAAACTTAGCTAAACAATACAGACTAACGTGAAGTTTTCAGTGAATAATAGTTTTTTAATTGTTAATAAAAAACATAAAAATATTATTTAACAACAAGATAAAAAACTACTCAAATTGCTATCACTACAAAGACCGCAATTTGATATTATTAAAACATTTATTACCAGAAATTGAACAAAATATTACTTAATTTACATTGAGTTAATTACAAATAAAGTTTAACTTGAAATATTGTTGAGGTACGGTTTCATTAATCGTGTTATTTTGATTTAACTATCGATTTAATCAACTAAGTATCTAAACTCATTTAAATATTTCTTTAGGCTAAGTTGTAACCGAGTTTACAAGTTCGAGTTTTTGAGGAAATATCACCCGTAAGAGCAGTAATCTGTTTATTCACAAATTAAATAGTTTATTTAGATTATTTTTGAGTTAAATAATTTGGCTTCCTAGTGTAAAACTATAAATGAGTATGTATAGTATAATGATGAACACAAATAACCAAAAAGTGAGTAAAAGAGCCTAAAAACTAGTCCGGCTTTCCGAAACAAAATTCATGTTATTTAATAAAAAATACTATTGCCCTTATATCTGCCTAAGACACAATATATTTGATGATGACACCATCTCAGTACATAGAGTACAAATACAATGTGTTTATTCCTAAGTGCAGCCACTTCCTTGTCATTTAAAGGACACTAAAAACAAAGGAGCCCATTTCGACTCCACTCCGCCGTGTACGACAGCAAAAGTACTTGATACGTTGTCGAAAAAAATCCCCAACATTTGCATGTCGATCGCAATGAATTTATAGTTATTGCTTCCAGATTTATTATCGGACCGCTTTCCGAAAAAATCCGCCCGCTATGACCGCGTTCCGAATTTAAAATTCAAATCCCAATTGTTTTTCCGTTCGAAATTGAGACGATTTTGACGTCCGCCGTCCGCCCGAGACATGCGTGTCTTTTTATTCCCAAATTTATTTCCAGCCAGTACCTTTTTTCGGTTCGATTTTTAAACTTTCGTTTTTGCGATAGTAAATCAATTGCGTTGTCCCAACTTTTTGCTGTGCGGTGTCTTTATAAATATTGTTTTAAAAATGTTTTTAATGATGGACGAAGGATTCAAAGTGTTGTTGAGTAGTTTATGGCCAGAGTTAGATGTGCGGTTCTTTTGAGTGCCGACTGGAGTGAATACTTTTTAAATCGTTCTTTTTTTGAACTCGTGAAAGGTTGAATTGAAGCGAAAGAAATTGTTTTTTTAGACGACTTCGAGTAACATCTTGTTACAAGGGGGGTGGTTGAGGGGAGGTGCGGTAATTAAGAAAAGTGTTGGGGGGGACGAAAAATTGTCCGTAGCGAGGACGTTTATAAAAACCGGTTTAATGACCGTAAGGCTTTCGAACTTAATAGGTTCAGAAAGATTGTCTCATAGCGAGACTTTTCTTATAGTTGTATCATAAAAGCTATTAGGGCTGGTATTAGAATGAAAAGTCATTTTTCTCGGAAATTGTATTGGGAAATGAGTGCAATATTAATTTGTGAAATAAGAATGAATCTGCGTGTTACGAATTTATAAAATGTTTCAAAAGAGTTTAAATAAAACCTTACAGAGAGCAATAATTATGTCGCGGCTAATAGAGCATTTAGGTAGGTACTTCAATTAGTATGTAATTGATGACTAAGTATTTAAACTTAAAGCTTCTAAAATTATTTATTCAGAAGTAAATTAAACTATTATAAGTTACTAGAAATACTTACAGTAACTTTATAAACATACAATTTTACAGATTAACTTCTTCGCTAAATCGGTTTTCTCTAGTAAATCCCTACTACTAAGTAAAATGAAAATTAAGGTGAAAATACGAAACATCTTAATGTAACATAAAAAAGGTTGTAAATTTTAAACTAACTTCTCTTAATGTCCGAACAACAAACCCCTTTTTACAAAACTCCCACTTAACCGGTAGCCCTGCTGTAAATTTGAGGAGATATAACATTATGAGCTCGCCACACCAGCGCGGTCTCGATTTTTCTCACTTTTCCCCGATCTTTTATCATTTTCTTCAACCCTTTTCGGACGTATTCATAACGCGAACCACTTTTACGACACTCCAGGGCAATTTCATAAGAGTAACACTCAAACTGAATCTTATTTTTGTAATAAAGTGGGGTAATAATATGAAAAGGCATTTAAAATTACTTATAGTTTATTAAAAATACTAGTCACAGTCTCTACTCACCATACACAGTATAAGTATAATAAGCTAACTATGCACCATATTTTAGTTAGATACCTAACAAAACCAATAAAAGAAAAATATTTAATTTAAAAATAAATAGAAAATTATTTTTACATAAGCAAAAAAAAAACGTTAAATAATAATAAAAATTATACTCAAAATAGGTAACCAAATAACATACAGGATTTTTTAGTAAGTACGAATAGGTATCTTCTATTAACTCTACTGATTTTTTTTAAGGCNGTAACAAAAAAAACGAACAACAATTTTTTAGTTTAAGATATTATACATCTCACACATATTTTTTTTTATTGTTTGGATCATCCATTTAGGAGGAGTAGGGATTCAAAGAGAGGTCTATTTTGCAGTTTTGCCTCACCTATCGCCTTAACTTGATAAAATTTACATTTCCCAAGTTTTTAGCTAGAGTTCGTGTCCGCTATACAAATACGGCCCCACTAAAGCGGTGGACATTTCTTTCGCTTGTTTTTTGCCGTAACTCATCGCGGCCGGTTTTTTGGCGGGAAACTGGGAAATTTATTTTGCAATTAACGTTGAGGCTGCGACATTATTAGAAAACTTCGAGGTGCTCGTAAAAATGTTTTTTTCGACCACCTCTTACACCTGCTTACGAATTTTGAATATTTAACTTTTTTGTTTTACAACCTTTTTTGATGGACAACTTTTTACAACGGGTTGTGCAAGGGTTTTATGGGTTTTTTAACTCTGTCGTGCAGAGGTTTTGTAATGTATATGTCATAGGTACTTTACGTAGGTACATGTTATGTTTAAATATTGAGCAATATCAGACGCCAAATGCAAGTTTAGAAAGTCAGGACTTATAACCTACTCGTTAAAAAAACGCATAAATTATTGAATAAACTTCAAAAATGTTACTTAAAAAATTAAACAACATTTACCTTCCCATTTCAAATTTGAATTGCAAAGCCAAATAAAAGCTTGTAAAAAACTGTAACATTTTAAGGTTAATTTTTGACAAACACACAAATTGGCGGGAACAGGCGCCCCGAGGAGCGGAATAAGAGAAAAACTTGCCAAAAATTAGATTTCTTCGTTTCGAATACTGCGCTCTACCGGATTGACACTTGAAATGAAAATTAACAATACAATTTTAATTATTTTTGCTTTATTTTTTAAAGATTTTATAGCAGAAGTAAAAATATTATGAAATAAAAGTGATGCATTTGAGAAATGTCGATGGAATTATTGATTTGTTTATGTTGATTATTAAAAAGTTGCGTAGCTTAATAGAAAAAAATTATAGAAATTTGAAAATATTAAAGATTTAGAGTAGCAAATTAAGGTAATGATATAAAAACATACCAACTTAGTCTAAACCAATATAGCAACCAAAAAATCAGCTGATCAAAATCACCGTCAAGCGTCCCTAACTCCAGCAGTCTCTTAACAAAAACTAACGCTGACTTATATTTAAAAAAATCACTTTCTTTAATCAAGCACCAAGATTGTTGCGCTTTCTACACGGTAGCTAATGGCCTGTGCTCAGTAAAAAAGCGACGGCGCCAAGATAAAAATTAGCTGAAATTAAAAGATGCTAACGAACGCCATTCTGCGCCCCCCTCCCCTAGACGATCCTGGGCTTGTTCGGGCGATTCTGGGAAAAATGACTTGTACACTTAGTGCTATTTGTTTTTAATAGATCTTTGATTTAGATGTTTTTGTTTTAGACTGTTTGTTTTAATAAACTATTTGTGTAGCGTTTGAGTCGCAATAAAACAAAATTGCGTTATAAGCTTAATGAAACTTCGCCCACGTGATTTATCTAATATAATAGTTTATTTAATCATAAAAAATATATCTATGTGCTATTAATATACCTCGTAAAGTTCCATCAAAATCCATGCAGTACTTTTTGCTTGAAAGAGTAACCAACATCCATCTGTCCTCACCAACTGTCGTTCATTGATTCCATAAACCCCGCCAACATAAAATGTGTATTCCAATCAAATTATTTTTATTTATAATTATTTTTATGTT